ACACGTCTAGACCACCCAGCCAGTGGTGACGTAACTAAATAGAAAAGACTAACGTTTAAAATGTATTTTGATGACTAATGAAAGGATCGAAAAAAATGGTTCAGCTTGGAATAAGAACTTCTTTTAAAGAATGGACTGGAAGTCTTAAGTAGGAGTCGTGATATACGATTTAAAATCTATCATAAATTGACTTGATGTGAGTTTTTGAGCAAAAATAAAGTTTTTATTCTTTCAATGGTTTTTAAAATCGATTTATAACAACATAATCATTAAATCAATTAAATGAAGAGAATATTAACGATATAACAATTTACATTTGTAATGAAGTCGAGTTATAGTAAACATGCTTATCACCTCGCATTAACAAGACATCGCTACAAACATATAACATAAGCATCTATACAGACATAAACACGTGATTCTAAGTTGTTTATTCATTTAAATACTTAGAATGCAATGCACGTTTCAAGTTAACATAAAATATAAAGGAAAATATTTTGCGGATACAATACAAAGGTCAAAAATGTCACCTTGTCTGGACTCGTGCATAAAAGACTGATAAAGACGTATTCAATTATATTTGCAAATAAATATGTTCGTATCTAAAACAATGAAAAACTTACATCATCATCATAATTGAGATCAGAGTTCTGACACCTCTGGGTGACCATGCCTCGAAGAAGTTTCTCTAGACCTCCCTTCACGGCAATCAATTCAGGTTTGAAGTAATTGTCCTTTAATCTCTCCGCTACTACATGGTTACTAGCGGCCACCAACTCAATGTCCTGGTCGAAGAGTGTATTAACGAAGTGGAAGGCCGCCGTTGCGAAGGAATTAGTTACAGTAGGATCGATGTCAGAGTTGTAAACAGTATCGTAACTGTCGTACATCTCATCGAACGATTTACCTAAAACAAAGTTATTTCTATTGCGTTTATTTATTACACATTGTTAAAATAAAATAGAAAAAAATTATAGAAGACAAAAGTTGGTTTTCTCTATAATTTTAAACTGCAACGCCATTAAATGCTGTAAACTGCAACAAATGCTTCACTGGACAGTGCAATAATCACACAAAAGATGGCGTGAAGTTAAAGTATTTCAGCGTTTATTCTAATTCTAGACTTTCTCCCGTTTCCACCTTTTCATATAGAAAAAAGATGAGATGAGTAAGTCGATTAGGACGTGGAGGGGATGTACAGAAAGGAAAAATGTACAAAACTTTATAGCTTAAGCTGATTTAAGATTTAACTCACCAGTAAGAGCAGGCAACCATTGCTTGTAAGTGATATGCTGCAACTCAGCGACCACAATCCTTCTCGCCTCATGGTACAAACGATCAGAGTTCCACTCAGGGTTCAGTTTAGCTAATGCCCTTGCTATCCTGTTGTGTTCCCTCACCCACAGGGAATGCAGACCCGTTAACCAAGGATGCATGTTGGATCTGATGTCACCTGTAACCAATTTTTGGTAACTTTGGTTCCACCGTCTACTTTTTAACGCTTAGATTTAAACGCCAATAGCTCAATAGTTACGGGCAACGAGTAGGGACAACCGATTTTGCGCCGTGCATTTAAATTTCGCCATTCCTAGCATAAACTTAATT